GTTACCTCTCTTTCAGAAACGGGCTTGACTTACTCTGCTTTCTCAGGTTTAACTTACCTTTCTGAAACAGAAAACCCAGAGTTTCCCTCATTTCAGGGTTAACAAACTCAGAGTTTTCACTTAACCTCCTTTCTGAAACAGGCCCCAGAAGTATTACACTGAAGATAAAAACACAGAAAAAGTGAGCAATGCCTCGTTCAAAGTCTAGATCAGCTCATTAACAAGAAAGTGAGAGCAGGACAAACACCAGAGGCTGCAGACACACGCTGCCTCATTTATAAACTTATGAAAGCATTTTGAGGAAATTGTTACCAAAGATGATCCTCAGTCCAAGGAACAATTCAATAAAGTTTCATGATGATGTACCCGTTTCAGCTAGAGGTGCCAGTGACAATATTGGGCAAAAACTTGGCTATAAATAAAAACTTTAAGACCAACATAACAATAAACACAAGAAAACCAGGTTGTTACAAATTTAACCTGATGCTTATTTGAACATAAACCATTACTTTCTGGCCCAGTAGAAATGTTTACAATTTGGAAAAACTTTCCATATAGGAAGGAAGTTAACAACTAATGAATGGAATTCACAACCTTTGTATTGATCCCTACTCAAAGTCCATAATAGCTCTGCTTTCACTGTAGGCGAATCACCAAACATTATCCGGAGTTTTGGTGCTACTGGTGCTTGTCTTGATGTCGGAGATGGCTGTAGAGGACTTGCAGAGACATGGGTGGAACAGAACTGAGAAATAGCTGCTGCTTCTGTGCAATTTAATTTTGACGCTTTGTTTGTCCCTCACGTCTTACTCCACAGCTTTGATTTCCATCGTGCCGAGCTTGAATGACTTCTTGCTGAAAGTAAGCTATTCCTCATAAACATTACCTGGTACTGTTTCTAGCCATGCAGAAAAATCTTAGCTGGATAGCCAATATTTATTAAATTTACTCTTCCCCACGTTGTCCAGATAAAAAGTTATTAGCACATCACCCCAAGGTCTGTTTGCAACATGGTTTTTATTGGTTCTGCTGTTAGGATGGAATTAATAATGGTTTCAGCTAAGCCGTACGGGAAATTTCAAAAAATTATCGTGAATTATTTTAATTTTTTATATGATTACAAAGATAAAATTCAATTTATGACTTGGTGACAATTTTAAGACCTATAAAAGACTGATTTAATGCATTTTAATACCAATTAAGGCCTTATTGGAGAATTCAATGCCTTTTGAGACTTAAGGTTCCGCAGGAACCATTTGAAGATATGTGCTTGGAGTCCTTTCCTAGTTTTTAATAATATGGGTAAATATAAATTAGTTTTATTAATAATGAATGCTTCTGTTACTTCTCCAAAGTCTTGGGATATGTGTCCTTATAATTGACAATAAAAATATAGAATCAATTTAGTCCTGATCTTCTATATTGAGAATCAGATGAAAATGTTGGTTTACCAAGGTGCCTTAAAAGACAAGGTGTTTAAAAAGACAACAATCATACAGAATATTGGCTTTATTATGAAACCTGGGGCGTTTGTTCACATAGAGCCATCCTACATTTGTACACACCCACTAAGCAGATCTTGTTGCAGTCACAAAAAAAAAAAAAAAAAAAGACACCTTATTCCGAGCACGCAACCAGCCTGAGATCGCTGAGGATTTTTAATACAAAACCAAAGCATATTTCCTTACATGCAACTCACAGCGACTGCCACAAATGTGTTTGACTGTGGCATCCTCTTGATGGCTGCATACTGCTCCACAAATAAAACTATGAAAACAGTATGAACCAGTATTATTGTAAAACCCAAACCCGGACAAGTATTTCAGACAAAAAAATTATATGAAGTTCACAACCCCCTCCCCGAATTAACAAGTAGCATGGATTCTCGTATTCGTTCACTTTGAGAGCTGTAACCAAAAAATTTCAGTTAAAATCCGACCCTCAACTCAACAAATGCAGTCGTTTTAAAATTCTGTGAGCAAATAGGTGGCCTGGTCAGTTTTCTTAATACATAGGGAGCACAGACAAACCTCCAGGATTACAGTGGGTCCACTCTGGCGCCCCCAGGTTGTTTCATCTAATAACAGCAGTAGAGGTTGCCTAATATTCTGCAATGTGCATCCTTCAGATTTACAAACAAGGAGTGCAATTAGTTGAGAGCATGAAGACAAAGGACTGTGAATTTTGTCACAAGGGGAAAAAAAGCCTTCTGCATCTCAGATACTGGGTTTCAATTCATATTATGACATTCTCCTGTAGCGTGCCCTTCTTTTTTTATGCATTCATGAGCCTTTTTTGTGTTGCAGGTACAGAAGTCACTTGTAAAAGTAAAAAGTGTATTAGCACTAGTAACTGGTGCTTAACTATAATTATCAAACTTTGACCAAAAAAACTGGTAAACCCAAAAAACAAGGAAACACTAAAGGACTTCTAAGAAAACCTGTGTGGCCGTTCATTTCCAAACATACAGTTAAAGAGAGAATAAAGCAGAAAAAAAACAAAAACATCGGAGATCAAATCACATGTTGGCTTTTCTCAAAACTGCCAGTCTTGTCTTTCAGATTGTAAATAACTGTCTTGGTGTTGGAGAAAACAGTGGAGGACACAGAGGGATGGATTCAGAGGACTACACCACTCGTCGCACTTCAAAAAATCTCTTCAAGTAGTAAATCTGTCCAAGTGTCATGGCCACCAGAACCAGAGCTTCGAAGAAGGACCACAGGACCACTCTGCTGTTTGTGTTGTCGTTAACTACAAAAAACAAAGAGGAAAAGGTTGTCATGATTCAGTTTACTCCGTTCATCAAATCAAGCTGCTCTCGATTTCTGTTCTTACTTGCTCTGTGTATCCTCTCACGGACCTCCATGTACTCCTGCTCATGCTTCACTGCAGTCATAGCAACAGCTAGTTCGTTGATCATCTCCTCCAGCTTGTTTTGATGCGCTGAAACAACCAGTTAATAATTTATCAATATACAATTAAAGCAAAACACCATGCAGAGAACATGCATTTGGTTTATGCAGAACATGCAAGACCTTCTAACATCTGTGACCCGAGTGGCAGACGAATATTCCTTTACCACTAGGGGTCTGTGGGAGCATTTACTCCTCTACAGATTTATAATCATTACTTTGCGGTCACACTTTAACGACTCGGGTCAAACAGATTTTAGAATCAGAGACAACCTGAGTAAATACAAAATACAGCTTTAAATGATTTAAATTCATCCAGGGTGTAAAAAAAAAAAGCTAAAACTGCTCTTATCAAACCAGCCCTGTGAGAAAAAGTAATAAACCATGAATTAACTGAACTACAAGTCAGAGCATGTGAACGGAGCGGAGTGCAATTCGCGCTCCCCTTTGTGGAGGATGTTTGCTAGTGATATTAGTAGATAAGCATGTATAAGGTGGGATTCATTTAGGGGAGGGGCCAAAATTAGTGACGCCCGAAGCCTCGCTACACTGATACTACGTCACCGCTTTCTGGAAGTGGCTCAGAAAGAGCAAGAACAAGCATTTAAACAGCGTCACAACTCAATCAAGATGTGGGAGTTTGTAGGAGGATTGCGGTCAGTTGGATAGATACTGAGAAAAGATTGGTCGTTCTTCCAACTAATCTAGTTGATTAAAACTATTTTAGTTAAACAATGTAATGATGAAAATCTGAGCGAACCGCTGGATACAGTTGTAACTTTAGTGTTAATATTACTGTCTGACAAATAGTTGTCAATGTTTGTGGCGTCAGCTGTAAGACAGTGACTTCCACTCCTGAGGTTGATGGTTCAAGACCTATCTTTGACTTTTGAAAGTTGCGATTATACTATTGAGACAAATTTTTATTAATTTGTCCTAGTAAAAATATAGAATGGGTAAAAACACTGCCAAATTAGATTAGATGATTTAACCAAATTATTGGTTGAACACATAACTTCCAACACAATTAAAACTAAAAACTGTGGAAAAACTATTATGTTTGAATAAAAATGACAAACACCTTTCATTTTGCTCATCTTTGCGTTTCCAACGCTTTCCCTGTCTGCTTGAGCTTATTTCACTAAAATGGCAGAAAAACAGTGAACCTTAAAAGATTGTTCTCTTCTAAGAAATTTTCCACTTACAAAAAAAACAAAAAAAAACAACAAAAAGTTTTTATTATACACACCGAATCATTAACAATTTCAAAGGAACTGAAAATGGCCACAGTGGCGGCGGATGTAGGAGTTTGCCCTGAATTCGAAGGATTGACGGTTCAAGCCCCGGCTCCGACTTTGGGTGTTGATGTGTCCTTGGGCAAGACACTTCACCTGTATTGTTTACTGATGCTGGTCAAAGCGCCCGGTAGCGCCAGTGTACGGCAGCCTCTCTTCTGTCAGTGAGCCCCAGGGCTACAATGTAGCTTGCCACCATCAGTGTGTGAGAATGGGTGAATGACTGAATTTAGTGTAAAGCTCTTTGATCAAGTGTCCTGACTTGAAAAAAAGCTTTATATGAGTACAGGCCATTTACAAACTGTAGTTCTGCACTCCACCAGTAGGTGGTGACACATTCAGATGAAGCCTCATGAACTGTGGGGATCGTTGAAGTAATTTGGCCAAACGGCTCAATGACTCATGAGGCCTTATCTCACCATCACTAATGTTCGCTCAGTCGCTCCGCCACTCAAAGTTGCGCCTCAATTTTCCCTTTCACTCTGGTGAAATCGCTCCATGCTGGCTCACATATTTAGAAGGCATTTTCTGACATTTTTCCTTCACGTAATTCTGCCAGGGCCCAGGGACACACGGTGTTTGATTTAATCATGTGACCGATACATGTGTATTGTCTTATTTAACTGGCTGTTAAATTATCGCACTGCTTTCCAGCAGTGAACGTAACACCTCGCTCCATTCATGTTGCCCAGCGTTTCCTATTTAATTATTCATTTATTTTACTAGACTATATTAAAAAAGGTCACTTCGCATCCCATTGCAAATGAGATAACGTATAATGCATATATGCGATCTATTTTCAAATCACTTCAAGTAAACCTACTTTGCATTTTTTAATAAATGTTATTTTACAAATTTTATAATCCAACATTTTTAATTGACATTGTGAGCACATTGGAGCGGAGCGAAATCCTCGTTACGGCCTTTGAATTGAAAACCGCTCTGCGCCTCACCATATTTCTTCCGCTCCACCCTTTGCTCATATGCTCTGCTTCAAGTTGAGACAGACTGACTTGTCTGTAGCCATGTTTCCATCAACCTTTTTATTTTCCTTTTAAGTATCGTATTTTGTTCAAATATTAATGATATAGAAGCACATTTGTTGAACATTTATCCACATTATTGTTTCCTGTCTGCAGTAGGCTTCGTGAAAGGAAACATTAAAATCCTAATAATCTCTTAACATCTCCAAGTTAAAGTATTTATAACTGAGGCCAGCCCTAGTTTGCTCCCTCCACTTCCTGTTTATAACAGCCAAGTGTAACCCGAAAGTATGACATCATGCTTTGCATCACCTGGTTAATTCCCTCCAATTGATGGCAACACATCTAATTCACATTTTCTTAATTTAAAAACTTTGCTTCAATTTAAATGACTCTTGGATGGGATCACTAATGTGGGCTCTGGGCACGGCGCTTAACCTCATTATGACTGGCTGAAGGCAGCTTTATTGGAAACAGAGCTGCAGCTGTCCTTTATTTCAGTAATTGATTAATCTTATTACCCCTAGTCAAATCACGTTTTATGACAAAAAGACATTTGAACTTAAAAAAACATACAATTATTTTAAACAAAGAAAACATAAAAGATATCTAAATTCAATACTCGCAACACAGCAGTTTATTCAAAAATGGCTTTATATAGAAGATTAAAGGATTAAGAATCAATCCAATTTTATATTTACCCAAAAATACAAAAACTTCCAAAAAAGGTTTTGAAAAATAATCTGCGGACTAAAGTGAGAATATAACTTTTGGCAGGCCTTTGTCCTGTTATTGTAACAAATGACATGTCAGAATAAGAGCATCATACTAATATGAAAACAGGGCTGGTATTATGATTGTCTTCCACATCGATACAAAAGGCACATCTTTCACTGTTGATGGTCGAAAGGGTCGGAAAGCTTGTTACTGAAGAAATTACTTTATCCGACAGGACCTGGTTGGTATGGCTAGCTCTCGCCATCTCTTTAAATTAACAATGTGCATTTATAATGTTTATGTCCAACAATAAAATGTGTTTAATCCATTTAAGACAAGATAAATCATTAGAAATCTGTAAAAGATAATTTTTTTTTATTTCTCCGACGTTTACACTGCAAGCATTTAAATCATTAAACACCAAAGCTGCCTCTGTTGCAGCATAACCGTATTATTAGTTTATACTATGAAAACAATGCTGTTAGAGAAAACTCCACAGTGCATGTCAAACTCAAAAAATGCAGTATTCTTTTAGTCTGGGTTTTTTTTCCTACCATCCCAGCTGTCACCACCTACAAAGAAGGAAGATGCACCCAAAATAAAGTCAAAAGGGAAAGAAATTCAAAGGAAGGTTCAACAATAGAGTCTATAGCATAAAATATTATCTTCAAACGGCCTGTATGGGTACCTTCTGTCTCCATGTCTTGGCCTTTAGGGGCCTCTCCGATGTCGATGGTGAACATGACGATCTTGGGTGTCATGGTGGACATTTTGTTACTGAAGCAGAACTTATAGGTTCCGTCCATGTGTGCAGCCACCGAATATTTCCCACTGGACTCTCTGTCCCCTTTGTAAATCTGCTTTCCATCAGGCCCTGTTATCTACAAAAAAAAAGGGGGAAAGCTATGTTAAAGGTGCATTTTTTGTGTTGTTCAGTTACTATTTGGAGACTAAACCAGAGGTGGAGTTACAGGACACAGCATTACCCCGAGCTGTGTTCGGGCCTTGTCACACCTTGCCGTTTTAAACAGAAAGCTGAACTTTCTATGTGTATTTTTCAATTTTTGGTGTATAAATAGAGTATTAATAATGAGTCAAGAACTTATGTCCGACAACAGCCAAACTTATGCATAACACAGGACACCATAATGCCCATTAAATGACGCACAAGCATATGGGCAATAATTAGATCAATCAGATTAATACATTTGCATGATAAACATTAGTTGAAGGCCTGCACAGATGTATACCAACCAAATACATTGATGTATACGTGTTCTTGACCTCTGAAAGTTTAAATGTCAACACGAAGAAAAACAGAAGACTCACTATCAGTAATACTTGATGGATCGAGCCAAAGCTTAAAGGAATAGTATACCCAAAACATGATTAGCCTTCATTTTCTACTCACCCCCATGCTGAACAACACTCTGGAGTACTTTTTTGATATCTCAAATGCATCTGGAGATCTGGGAGGCTTCTTGCTGTCTGCTGACATTCAAATAATGGAGGTCTATGGTGCCCGAGGCAGAAAGGTCCATAAAAGTCCACAAAAAAACGTGTCAATATACCTCCATACTGCTCGTCCAATGTATTCCAAGTGTCCTGAGTGGGTAGCATCCAGAATTTACTCGAAACTAAGTCATTTAGAATGTTTTTAGAGCATAAACAGTAGTGTATAGGATTTCCTAAAAGCGCGTTCACGGCGCTACGGAAACCGCGGCAGACCAAACCAGATGAAAGTGCGCATTCAGCTCGGCAAAGAACTCATGCTCTTCCTCAACACTGAAGTCCTCAGACATTTTCTTTCGTCGTTTCTTTCTTTGCACAGGTAAACAGCACATTTCTTCTTCTACGCTTGCATTATCGGCAGAGCAGACGCTGAATGCGCACTTTCATCTGGTTTGGTCTGCCGCGGTTTCCGTAGACTCGTGAACGCGCTTTTAGGAAATCCTATACACTACTGTTTATGCTCTAAAAACATTCTAAATGGCTTCGTTTCGAGTAAATTATGGACGCCACCCACTCAGGACACTTGGAATACATTGGACGAGCAGTATGGAGGAATATTGACACGTTTTTTGTGGACTTTTATGGACCTTTCTGCCTCGGGCACCATAGACCTCCATTATTTGAATGTCAGCAGACAGCAAGAAGCCTCCCAGATCTCCAGATGCATTTGAGATATCAAAAAAGTACTCCAGAGTGTTGTTCAGCATGGGGGGGAGTAGAAAATGAAGGCTAATCATGTTTTGGGTGTACTATTCCTTTAATGTTGGTATTTTGAAAAACATTGTTCATATACCAAGAAAAATTATTTAAAAGAGGAAATTCTGCTGCCTGTGGCTTTTAATTTGCCCTAAATGCCACAGGTGTCTTATGTCCCATTTTCATTACTTTCCAAATTTTTATAAAATAAATTATATTTAAACACCATTACATTTGAGTATCAACTCAATGGGGACAGCATCTCAAATTCAAAGATGACCCAACAGTCCAAAATTATGTTATTTTTAGAGAAACAAACACAGCAGCAGCCTAGACTGCTGCAGTTACTCATAATGAGGCGCTGTGTTGAGTGTTTATGTCCGTCCTGCTTCAACGAGATGCATCTCCACCATGAGTGGCTCACCGCTGTAGCTAGCCTTTATCAGAATACTATTATTACATGACAAATTCTTAGTCCAACTGGCTGTTTTATTCTAATTACTCATTTCCATATAAATGGTGCAATCTGATTATAATTATTTTTTCTGAATACGTGTCACTGCGGACCTGAAGTTTGTGCATGTAAACAAAGCCATTGTTTGGTGATCATAACTAGTCGATTTCTAGCTAAAATGACTAGAACGGGTGCTTAGATTATGAAAAAAGCTTAAGATTCAGGTTTTGAGGAGAAGTGAAAAAGAACGAAAGATATTTTCACCCTAAGATTAAGTTTGAACAATTTGCCTAATTCCAAAATCTTATTTGTGGTAAAGATTGGGATTCAGCTTGTATTCCATCATGTTTTTAATTAAAGAGGGTATAACAACAAATACAAAGAACTCTTTTCAATAATCACTTGGCTTTACTGTGGCTGCTGATGGAAAAGCCAAAATCTGAATGAACAAACCTTGACCTAGTAAATATTCTTGCACATAGAAATATCTAGAAAAGTCACTGGAACATCAGACAAATGTATTTTTTAACTGATCAATGGATTCCAATAGTACTCTTAACATTTTGTTTATAATCATTTGGTATTGTTCTGCCTGAATTAAATCTAGGATCCGTTTCATGAAGTAAAACGTTTGAATCTTAATAATTCTGTGAATTATGCAAATTAAAGAAAAAACAGGTGGAATAGAGGCATTTAGGCTCCGTTCACACTGCAGCCTGAAGTGACCCAAATCCAATTATTTTGCCCATATGCGACTTGGATCTGTTCTTTTCATGAAACTCTGAACAACAGAGATCCGATTTTTTCCAATGCGACGCAGGTCATTTGGCTATGTGGTCCTGATATGAATCAGATCTTTTTAAATATGACCTGTGTCTGAACGACCAGGATGCATTTATCCGACCTGAACGCCATTATTAACCGACAAAGGTCACTATTCTGCTTCTTGCTACACAGAAGCGGTAAGAAAAACAAACACCATGGCGGATGATGATGATGATGCGGAGAGCAGTATTTATGCCTAACCATCTTCAAAAGATTGAGGTTTAAAGGTTTGGAAAGATCACTAGATGCGCTCCAGCTCTACATCCATGTTTACTTCTGTAAACACGAAGCACGCTGGCTTTCGACGTCATTGCGTCCTCTACTGCACATGCGGGAAACTCAAGCTGTATGAATGCAGTTTACACAGGAGATCACATACAAGTCGCATATGTTTGGAAATGTGAAAGGCAACGCAAAAAAATCAGATTTTACAAAAAAATCTGAATTGAGCATCAAGGCCTGCAGTGTGAACGTAGCCTTAGAAAGAGAAGCCCTATAAATGGAGCGGTTCTGCAGTTGGTGATCACAGACCATTTCTCTTTTCTTATCCTTTCTGACTGAGGTTTTCATCACTTTTACATGTCATACTGTCAGTGCTCTCACCCCTAGAGGTAGAGGCAGTGTCTAGAACTGACGGATGCCAATCAAGAAAGCTTGTAGTCTGACAGCCCAGTGTACATAGCATGGATAGGATAAACACAGGCAGATCTAAGCGCAATAGAGTCATTTATAGGGCATGGAGAACTTCAAACTGTAAAATTTGACTCAGATTTTAAGTGAATTTTTGTTTGCCTTATTAGAATAAAGAGTGTGATCAATCAAGAGTCCCCATTTTGGAGGAGCTGTACCTATGCTCCAAGGGGCTACCCACGTGTATGTGTATATATATATATATATATATATATATATATATACATACATATACACATACACACACACACACACACTAATGAGACATGAGTGAAACCTTTTAACCTCAGATTTTAATCTCTTCGAATTTCTGGATTATATAATTGTTATCAAATACCTTCCCGTACTATCCTCTTGTAAAACATGTCAGCATTGAAGCAACTGTTTTTAACAATGGATATGTTGACTTGAGGAGAAACATATGGCAGGAGCCAGCAACAGAAAAAGAAAAAAGAAAAGCAAGCAGATCCTAACAACCCCTTGCAATAATACTGGATCCTACTGAAAGCTGCCATATTATATGATGCAAAATTATACCCAGAAAGATGAGCTCAGTGTGAGCCAAATAGTTAGCAGCATATCCAAATGAAATGCTATAGCCGCATCCAGATCACCAACCCCACATCATATTTGCATTGACTAAACAGTCATCAGAATGGCGTATTAAATATCAACCAAAGGACCTAAATGCCATAAAAACAAACGGATCATAGCTCAGCATTTGGGTGACGTTTCACAGAGAGACGGCTAGTCGTTAGCGGCTAATATTAGCATGGGGCCTTGCTATCCGGTTGTCAGTTAGAGAAGTCAAAGCGGCAAATCCTTGACATGACACCCTTGTGATACTCGGACACACTCGATAAAGCATATTACCTCCACGTCGATGTCCAGGAAGCCTCCCTCGGCCACCTCAAACATGAGGCCCATCTTCGTGCCGGAGTTAACCCGCTCATAGAAGCACTCCTCTGCATGAGCATCTATGCTAACGAAGTAGCCCGATGCGGTAGCAGACAAGGCGGCCAGCAGGATAACTAGCTCTGAGGCGGTGAACATTATTTAAAAGTTGTGCTGAGAAAGCCGAAGGTATAAACAGTGTCCTCTAAAGGAGTAGCCTGTGATACACCGACTTTCTTGGAGTGGACGGTTGAAACGGGGAAGGCGCAACACTTCCACAGCCGTGTTCCGCTCTCTGATTGCCACGTACGGATTATTGCACGGCAAGCCGGAAAGGCGAAATTTTACGACAGCGCCTGAAAATTCTTCTCTGTTTTTTTTTTTTAACGGCAGTTTGCACCCAACTGCATGTTGCATTACTGCCATCCTATGAATTCATGTTAATGTACCATTTCTCAAAAATACTGATGAGACTGGTTTTTCTTAAAAAGAGAAAAAAAATCTTTAATTTCCCTACTTCATGATTTAACTGTGCAGCAAAAACTCAAATCTAAGCTTAAATATTTCCTTTGAATACTCAATAACAATGTTCTACTGGTTCTGTAGTAAACCCACACTAACAACTGTCACCCTTCTTTGCAGATGACTCATTAATTGTGAAAAAGAAAGATTTTGTACTTGTCATGGTAGACGTCAAAGAAAACCGATACCGGTAAATTAAAAATATTAGTGAAAGCCGAAGAAAAGCATTGGTGTCAAAAGTACACACATTTGTTACTTAAGTAGAAGTATAGATACTGCAGTTTAAAAACACTCTGGTAAAAGTTAAAGTATCAGCTTGACCTCTTTACTCAAGTAAAAGTGAAAAAGTATGTGCTCCAAAAGTTACTTAAAGTATAAAAGTATAAAGTAACCTTTAAAAAAACCAGCCAGATGCCACTATATGAATTGAAAGCTAAATTTTTCTATTCTTAAAAATTCTTTGAGATAGGGCCAAGGATAAGGGAGGTGTCTGACCTTTCAGACATTTTAACATCTTTTTCTGATTGCGACATTGTAGCATGGCATAGACAATTCACGTTTGCAGTTTGAAGAACACCTGCTTCCTTTTCCTTTGACAAATAGCTAACCAATGAGTTTTTGCGTTATACGACTCATCCAA